CAGGTCGCGTGTGGCGGTCCTCTCCTGGAACGACTTGCGTGTCCGGCTGTGTCGCCCCCCGCCTGGCCTCGCGCCCCTCGTCCCCAGGCGCGGCCGGCACTAGCAGGTGTTCGGCGCGTGCTGGCCGAGCTGGGCAGGCTTCGCTGTGCACCGGGCGCGCTCCCAAGCCCCTGCGTGCGTCCCGTGCCGGAGGGAGCAGTGGGGACTCTCCAGGGCGCCAGGGCGGGGGCAGGGGCTTGGCGGGGTCGTGGAGGGCGGGTGGGGACCCTGCAGTCTGTCCTTGGCCACCCGGCGTGCCGGGCCCTCCCCGGAGAGCCTGTGCGGGGCGCAGTGAAGGCCACGCACCTTCTCCAGGGCTCCAGCCGCTGCGCCACTTCTGTCCCCTTCAGCACACGACTCCAAAGGACGGCTTGTGCACATTGTCCGCACCCCCTCCGCCGCCATGACACTCTGTTCTTAAATAAATGCTTTCATTGAAGCCTAACATACATTTGTGCAGAAAAATGCACAAATCCGAAGTCCACAGCCCGAGCGGTTTTCAGCAAGTGGACACGGCTTTATTAGAACGTCACCAGCCCCCGGAAGACTCCCAGGCTCTCAGTGCGTCAGCCGGACCTGCCCCTGACAGCCCCTGTCACAGCACCTGGCTCCTGCTGTCTCTTCTCAAGCCCGCACGGTTCGCTCTCCCACTGCCTGCAGTTTCTGCTCAGTCACCTCTTCAGGTGACCTTCCCTGACCACCTCAGCACTTCCTGTTGCTTATTCTCTGTAGCCCCTGCTTACCGACACCATCTGCATCTGTTCAGTTTATTAGCTGTGTCCCCTGGCTAGAATGTAGGCTCCTTGAGGGCGGGGACATTGTCTCTTCACTGCCACACCCCCAGCACCTCGAGCAGGGCCTGGCGCGTGGCAGGCTCCTGAAGGAATGAGTGAAGGCTCTCGGCAAATATAGCTTCAGAAGCAGCTCACTTGGGCGCTTTGGCCACGTTTATGGTCTGAGGTTTCCTATTAAGGATGCCAGATGCCATTAACAGCCATGACAGAAGCTTCCGGAAATTAGGTACGATTTAACAGTGTGAGCTTACTGAATTTCCAAAGCTGTCCAGTGAAATACTCTGGTGATGTGACAATTCCACCAGACTCTGAAGTGCTGCATTCGTCATTGCTGGATCTCGCACATCTCCTGCCTCTGCCCCGCAGGTTCCCGTTCAGCCGCCCGGAGCTGCTGAAGGAATGGGTTCTGAACATTGGCCGGGGCAACTTCAAGCCCAAGCAGCACACGGTCATCTGCTCCGAGCACTTCAGACCTGAGTGCTTCAGTGCTTTTGGAAACCGCAAAAACCTGAAGCATAATGCCGTGCCCACGGTGTTTGCCTTTCAGGACCCCACGCAGGTAGGAACACACTGCTGTTTCTTATCTTCTCAGATCCAGCCTGCACAGATTCACCCAGCAGTTGGGGAGCAGGGGCAGCAGCATTTGCAGGGAAAGCGAAGGTCAGTGAGAGTGGTGCTGTCGAGCTTCCAGGGTCCATAGCCCTGTGGCCCCTGCTGGCCAAGACCTTTGCTTTAAGAGAAGTCACAATTTAAAGCCACTTTAAAAAGATAAACCATACTGCACAACAGGATGCTGGGTCTTCTATGCGTTTTGCTCTGGCTGGTCTCATGTAGGCTCAAGGCTGCACAGTGAAGACCTTCCCACGTGGAAGGCAGCAGGCTCAGTGTTGCATTTGGACCCAATGCTCTGCCCCCATCCACCTAGGGTTTGGCTGTGTGCCGCTGTCAGTCAGCAAGTCTCCATTAAAGTCTTACTGTGCGCCACTGGGATGCAGGAGAATGAAGGATGTTATGGGGGAAGTGGGGGAGGGAGATTTGGGGGCAGCAGGTTGAGGCTTGGAGTGGAAGAGTTGGCATGTTCAGGAACACCATTTCAGGCTGGTTGGAGGGTCATCAGAAGCTGGAGAGATGAGCAGGGCCAGGACATGAGAGGCTTGGACAGGCTGTGGGGTTTTAGGATGTCTTAGTCAGCTCAGGCAGCTCTAACACAGTGCCATGGACTGGATGGCTTAAAGGACCAGCATTTGCTTCTCACAGTTCTGGAGGCTGGGAAGTCTGAGATCAGGGTGCCAGCACAGTCAGGTTCTGGTGCGGGCTCTCTTCTAGGTTTGTGGACGGCTGTCTGGCAGACAGCAGAGAGGAAGAAAGCTCTCTCCTGTTTCTTCTTCTTTTTTTTTTTTTAAAGATGACCGGTAAGGGGATCTTAACCCTTGACTTGGTGTTGTCAGCACCACGCTCACCCAGTGAGTGAACCGGCCATCCCTATATAGATATACCTGAACCTGTGGCCTTGGTGTTATCAGCACCGCACTCTCCCGAGTGAGCCACGGGCCGGCCCTCTGTTTCTTCTTATAAGGGCATTAATGCCATCATGAGGGCTCGACTTTCATGATCTAATCACTTCCCGAAGGCCCCATCTCCTAGTACCATCACACTGGGGGTCAGGATTTCAATAGATGAACTTGGGGACATTCAGAGCACAGCAGTGGGAGGGATGAGGCTTTGGAAAGCTCTCTCTGGCTGCAGGTGAATAGTGGCTTGGTGAGAAGCTCGTTTGGAGGCCACTGCAGTGTCCCAGGTGAGCATAGCCATGGTGGCCTGAGCAGAAGGCAGGATGCAGTGAAGTGAGGAAAGGTGTGGCCAGAGTGGACAGACTCCGTGGACCTGGAGGGCTGGGAGCGCAGAGCTCACCAAGCCCCTGGAATGTGGTTCCCTGACTCCCGGAGGAGCTTGGTCTTGTGCCTGTGGAGTTTGACCTACCTGTGGGACACCGAGGAGCATGTGTCTTGAGGGGCAGATGTGTGGGTTTGGCTCAGGAGCGAGCTCATGAACAGCAGGACACTGAAGCCATGAGGGGATTATATTGCATCTCATAAATCCTGCAGGGGCTCCCAGTCGCAGAGTGTGGGCCCGCAGGGCCACACCCCTTTGAAGCTGGAAGACAAAGTAGTGGTGGGACAAGTGAAAGACCAACAGGAGCGAGTGGAGGGGCAGGAGGAAGGGCAGCGGCTGCTCGTGAGCTCACGTGCCGGGAACAGCCCGTCCAGGCTCTGCCTGGCTCTGCCTCGCCCAGACCATTTGCACAGACAGCCACACGCCTCCGCCTCACCACCTTCCGGCCTGTGTTCCTGTTCCTTCAGGAAGGCGGTCCCTGCCCGCCCTGTCCCCGCACCCCTGCCAGCCCTCCCTACCGTCCTGCTCAGTGGTCTTCCTGGCACCTGGACCACCTGTCATACTTGATGCTTCCTTCGTTTGCTTTGTCTTCTCCCGTCGAATATAAGCTCCACGGGGGCAGGGACTTTCACTTTCTGCCCGACACGCAGGACGCTGCCTGGCACAGGCTCCTGCTGTGTGTGTGCGTGTTTGTTAATAAATGGGGTGGTTCAGTCACTTTCATGCACTTGTGGTAAAATGCTTGCCCCTGAAGTAAGATTACAGTGTAACAGGTGGGGGTGCAGGACATTTGTAACGTGTCCTTGGTGCTTCCAGTGCCAGCCTGCTGGGAAGTTGGTTGAGGGCACCCTGCCTGGCAGTACCAGGGATTGCACCTGGGCTGTGAGACGGGTTTTATACTACGTGCTGGCTCTCACAAGGCAAACGTGTATTGAGGTCTGGTGCCAGGCCCTGGGGTGACACATATGAGTTACATCCCTGGCTCTATAGGGACCTGCTCACAGGCCTCCAAGGCCATGATTTGGGAATGTCTCTGGAGAAAGATAAGGACACCAAGTGGGCAGCGAGAGCAGAGCTGGGCTGGACTTCAGGTCAGGTTAATCTAGCAGATACTTATCACACACGTCATTCATCGGTCGAGCAATGGGCACAGATGCCTGAGGCTGGCTGTGAGGCACCTTGGGGGATGCTGGTCTCCTAATTGCCCCCGAGGGAGCTGGGCCATGGAGCCGGTCTGCATCAGCTCCAGCGTGTCTCTTGCAGCTGGTGAGGGAGAACACAGACCCCCACCGGCGACAGAGGCAGTGCCAACTCTCAGAGAGAAAAGGTGAGTCTGCGCCAGGCCACTGCCTGGATGTTTAAATGACACTGGCAGAGCAGGCAGCATTTTTCTAGCAAGGCTGGCCTGCTAGGGTATGTCATGTTTCCTCATAGGCTAGAGTTTTGAATTCCCTGTTTTCCTAGGGAGGAGAAACCTGAAGCCCCTCAGGCTTCCTTCTATCTGTTCTATCAATGAAATCTCAGTTGGTAACAAGGCGCGTGCCTGATTTCTCAAGGCTCTGGTTCCAGAGTTTGTCGTAGGAAAAGGCTGGTTGTTTATGCCGCTGCACAGACCACATAGCTGGTCCCCTGCTGTAGCCACTCCCCGGGACAAGCCGTTGGGAAGGGATTACTCTGGGATGGCCACAGAAGGGCTGGGGGAGGATCCTGTGTCTGCGGGGCTCCCCAGCCCGATTCCACTCCGCTGTTCCCAGGTCCTCCCCGAGGCAGGGGCCGGGAAGTACAGCCCAGGGAGAAATATGGACGCTGCACTGGAAGAGCTTCAGTTGCCGCCAAATGCTGAAGGCCCCATAAAGCAGGTAAGAAGTGGGGACGCGTACGGAGGCAGCCGTGGTCAGTCTCAGCACGAGATGATTTGCTTCAGGCACAGCGAAGAAGGCTGGTGCCCCAAAGAACCCACCCACAGGAACCCTGGGGAGCATGGCACGTGGCCTTGATTTCACAACTTCCCAGTGCATTTACCACCATGATTTGGGCACATTTAGGTTTCACTGAGTCCTGCTGCCCAGGGTTGGTGCTGAGCCCTGACCTTGGACCACCTTCCTCTGTCCTCAGATCTTGCTACAGAGCACAGAAGCCACGGAGGCCCCTGGCCGGCTGGCCAGCTCCACAGGGCTGAGAAGTCCCCTCCCTGAGCAGCCATCTGATCACAGCTATGCCCTTTTGGACTTAGATGCCCTGAAAAAAAAACTCTTCCTGACTCTGAAGGAGAATGCGAAGCTCCGCAGGCGCTTGAAGGCACAGAGGCTGGCGATGCGGAGGGTGTCCCGCCGCCTCCGTGCTCAGAGAGGGGCAGCGGGGACTCCAGGCCACACCTCAGCCTGAGCAGCGGAGGTGAGCCCGGACGAGCAGCAGCACCCAGGCCAGGCAGTGGCTTCGGGGCTCTCGCCGTGGATATTCCCATCTGCTGCTGACACAGAAAGTGGCAGGGAGGCCCCAAGGGCAGGGGATTAGCACAGCAACTGCTGTGTGCTGTGAGGTTAGAGGCATCAGGCTGGGAGAGCGGGGCCACGGGCGTGACAAGTTGTCCTCCCTGTGGTAACAGAAGCCCGTCTGTACTGCTGTCCTCTCAGCACAGCTGAGCAAGTGTTGAGGGGACCACAGTGCCTGAGGACCTGTCCCAGGCCCAGGGTAACAGATACTCCCCCACAGGAGGGGAAGCCATTCTCCCAGAGTGCACTTCCTTGAGGGACAGCTGTGTCCAGGCATATACTTAGCTTGTGGGGTTCCTCCTGCCCCTGTGCATGGAGGGGGCGATGGCTGGCCCTGTGGCAGGGTGAGTGGGTCCCCTCCGTGAGCCCAGACAGCCAGCTCTATGTGGCAGAGACCGGTCTCTGTCCTATGGAGTGATTCCTCTCCTGGCCTGGTTTGAGCACATGATGTAATAAAGTGTCTCTCATTTAGCTTTCTCACCTGCTATGTTTCACTGCTGCTAAGACGACTGACTTCTGGTTTCCTTTCAGAGCGGGCAGGGTGTGACTACCTTTGACTATCAAAAAAAAAAAATTTGTGACTTCAGTTAATTAAGAGAAAACAAAAACCCTAGCCTAACTGACTTCTTAACTCTGGATTCTCTTTCTCAGGCAAATGTTTAATGTAGAAGACGGAACCACAGCTTCAAGTTGCGCCTCATGGTTTACAATGTGGCTTAAACAGTGAGGAATAGAGGATGGGAACGGGGCCTTCGGGGAAGGGGGCACTTCCCTGATATTTTGCTCACTCCTAAAAATGAACACCCCAGTAAATTAAAAACTACTGTCCTCAGCTTTCAGGAAAGGTTTATTGTGGTGAGAGAGTGCCTCCTGTACAGTCAACTTCAAACAAGAGAGGATTGGTGCCCAAAAGAACCTCCCATGGCAGAGGATGCACAGGGCCACGTTCCAAGTCAGGGTTCATGCAACATGATTTTTACTGCACGGCTCAGTCAGGGGGCCAGCCTGAGTACTACTTTGTCTTTTTCTTTTTCTATTCTTTTGGTGGCTGGCCGGTATGGGGATCCAAACTCTTGATCTTGGTGTTACAGCACCTCACTATGACCAACTGAACTGGCCAGCCCTTCTTTTTTAAATGGAGATAAATACTACAGAATTAGACAGCCTGAACTGCTTTTAACTGTAGGAAGAGGCTACTTAGTAATTACTCTGATACTGGGGCCTGAGAGGGAGGCCTTAATTTGGCAACAGCTGCAGGGGAGCTGGAGGCCAAAAGTGGCTGCCAGCCTCCAGATCCAGCTGCCACAACCACTGCCCACGCAGCACCTGCTTGGAGGTCAGCAAGTGACCACTGCAATTCCAGGACCCACGCGACAGGCCTCCGCTCATCCAAACTGTTTTCCGCTGCAGCGCAGACTGCTCAGGGGCATCCCAGCTCTTACACCGTTCTGCACCCACACAGCAGGCCAGTGAAGGGAGTCCAGGAGGAAGGGCTGGACCTGGCCAAGTGTAGGGAGCAACGGTGCCACTTTTGGGCACTTGCCAGTGAGGCACAGGTGCGCCAGTCCAGTGGGCTGTGGCCGTGGTGCCCGGACCTTGGGATTGAGCACTTGTCTGAGCCCTGGCCTCACTCCCCCTTCGTCTACATTTTGCCCTTTTCTCATTTCAGCCCTGCACTCTAGACGGGGTGGGCACAGGCAGGCCAAGCTGCGCTGTGTCGTAGGGTGACAGGGACATAGATCAGCTTGCACCTGCTGGCTGGCAGTAGGGTCTTTTCCCACAGGGATATGGGAAGCGACTGGTAACAGGGAAGGTCTTCAGGACCAGGACTTACGCCACTCTGTCCCAAGCCAGGAGCTGGTGGAATGATTTGATAAGCTCTGGGAGTGGGGAAAAAAGACTAATTTCCAAACCTGCTTGTTCTCAGATAAAAAGCAGTTTTATAAACCCACACTCCTCTCCAGATTCACTTAGTAATATTTCAGCATTAATAACATGGTTTGTGGGAAGTCGACTGAACAGATGCTCCCTTTATCTGGAGGCCTCGGCACGTGAAAAAGCCTTCCTTCCTTTCCATTTTGTTTCCCATGTTTAGTGTGCATTTGAGGAAAAGTAGTTCACAGTCCTATGTGTGAGGGCAGGGTGTTCCATAAATACCTCCAGACAGAACCAGGAACTATGGGAGGCAGGCTGCGCCAGCACACATACTGGGAAACCTGGGGAGGGACCTGGAAGAGTCCATGGGCCCAAGGTCTTTTGCTCCAGGAACATGATCCTTGGGAAGACAGCCATGGGCCCTGCTGTGGTCTGGTCCAGGTGGGGCTGCCTCCATCCTACCTACAGCACCCATGAAAGCTGGGGTGTCTGTGTGTCCCTTCACATAAGTGATATGGTGCCACCTTCTATGGGAATAATATAAAATAAAAACATCTCATGTCTGGGTTCTTCCCTGCTTCCAAATTTGTAGACTCCCAGGAAAAGATTTTTTGCAGCTTCTTTTTAATCTGGTACTCGAGCAGTTTATCCATCTGTATCGATCCTGTGAGCTGTAAAGGAAAAGTCCAACTCAGGCTATCAGATGGCAACCTTTTCCCCAACCTCCTTCTACCTAGGGTTCAGCAGTCATCCAACCAGCAGCTGCCTGGGCTGACGGCTTGACTAAACACAAGCTGCCAACTGCTTCTGGAACACAGAGGTTTGCTTTCATACCGAGCCACCCAAAGGGGTGCAAATCATGGACTCTGAGCAAGTCACAAAGCCAAAGTCGGTTGGCCTCCTCATCCCCAGATGGACAACAGAGGGATGGTGGTCGTCATCCTATACGCTGAGCAGCCACTCTGATGTCCCTGCCCCCTCTCCCTGGCCCATGCCCAGGGCAGGTGGTTGTGAAGGGCAGCTACTCACACTGCTTTGGTATCCGGAGGGCCTCACTGTCCAGCACCATCACCTGATGCAGGACACCTCGGAACTGATAAAGCACTTTCAGGTTCTTCTCTTCACCCACACACGGGTCATAAAACCCAGGCAGCCCAGCCTGCAGCGAACAGATTGTTAGTCTCAGGACTACTCCAGGTGGTCGCTTTAAACCCAGCTCCACTCCTCTCTGCTATCACCTGAGGGGCAGTTCTGTAGAGGGGCAGAACTGTCCCTTGGGAGATGCAAACTTTGGAACTTGAGAAAAAGAAATGAGAATTTCAAAACGTTGCCTATGCAGTCCTAGACCTGCCTCTCAATACAGGCCCCTTCCCCATGCTAAACAGACCTCAATATTCCCAGAAATCCTACCAAGGCATCTTCAGGGAGCTTCTTTAGCCTGAGCTAATCTGCATTTTAATTCTTCTGTACCGTCCCTGCTCCAGGCTCTGTAGGCGAGACACATATGCTACAAGTAACCTCACAAAGGGAAAGTAAGTGCCACAAAAGCAGAGTGTGTTCTGTTTGCTGCTGTACCAGGCACAATATAAACACTTGTTGAGTGAACAGATTGAAAGAATGAATGAATGAAGTAAACAGCTCCAACGTGGACATGACTCGAGTATCCTACACAGCAACACCAGCAATGTGAAAGATCCTACTGCAGCAAAATGACCCCTGCAAGAAGCCAGGCTGCCCTGGCAGACTGAGCCTGTCCCGACTGGCCCGGGCTCTGTGGGTCTTGTGAGCATACAGCAGGAGGTGGCTGGCACTGCTATACCTTGGAGGCCTCCGTAAGGATGAGCTTCGAGTCCTTCACCAGGCACTGCAGGGGCACTGTGACGTCAATCACCTTCACCTTCTCGCTCTTCTTGCTCTTGTCATTGACAAATTTCCCATACCAAGCGTTCACGATGATGAGGCCTGAGGACAGACTGAGTCAGTGCAGAGGGGGGCTCCCTTTGGGCACTTCCCCCAGCTGCTTTGAGACTCTCAGCACCCACCCCAGCCCCAGAGAGGACACGCCTACTCACCCATTCTGGACTCTTCTGCCTCAATTATTCTTCGGACAGATTCCTGCATCAACCGCACCTGTCAAAGAATAAAGATAAGCACCATCGGGGCCCCGCCAGGTTTGTTCCACCTGTGTACAGGGCCACAGACATGCAGTCTGTGTCTGCACCAAGACACCTGCTCAGGGTCTGTAAGGGAAGGGAGCCCTGAGAGCTTGGCTCCCCAACTGGCATGCTTTGAAACCCTCAGTTCAAGTAGGCAGCTTGGAGTCAGCAGGCCAAGAAGCACCTGAAATGGCATGACCCCCTGACCCCGTGACCCCAGTGGGAGTGATGGTGCCTCAGCTCCCTTTCCAGGGATCATAATAAAAAAAACACTGAATATGCTGTCAGCATTTAAAAACAGATTTCACATGAGAAGCTGGACTCCCAGCTCCTCTTGAGAAAGGACCTGTGTTTTCCCAGGCGCCATCCCACAGGGCAGAGCTGCACTGTCCCCTCAGACAGGCACATGCTTGCTGGCCACACACATGGCCCCCAGCCTGCATCAGGCTGTCTGCCTGGGTGCTGTACACACTTCTGTGTTCAGCCCTTCCCTGGCCACAGAGAACCAGCAGTATCCCTGCTGTTTATCCAGGATGTCTGTTCCCTTGTATCCTGTAACAGGAAGTACACTTCAAGGGAAGAAAAAGAGGATACCCATCACTTTTAAAGAAACCTTGTTAGGGCCGGCCCGTGGCTCACTCGGGAGAGTGTGGTGCTGATGACACCAAGGCCATGGGTTCGGATCCCATATAGGGATGGCCGGTTCGCTCACTTGGGAGAGCGTGGTGCTGACAACACCAAGTCAAGGGTTAAGATCCCCTTACCGGTCATCTTTTTTTTTTTAATAAAAGAAACCTTGTGGGCCGGCCCGGTGGCGCACTGGATAGTGCGCCGCTTGGGAAGCGCGGCAGCGCTCCCGTCCGAGGGTTCGGATCCCACATACAGACCGGTTCCCGCTCACTGGCTGAGCGAGGCGCGGGAGCAACACCGAGGCTTGTGATCCCGTTGCCGGTCCCTGGTCCGGTACGGGGGCAACACTGAGGGTTGCAATCCGTTGCCGGACACGGAAAAAAGACAAAAAGACAAAAAAAAATAAAATAAAATAAAAAAAAATAAAAGAAACCTTGTTATGCCTTTTGAGAGTAAATGTATATAATCTTTAGGACAGGGACAGAAGTTTCTAGGATTGCATCCCAAAGGCAATAAGATTAAAATGGTAAATGAATCTACTGGAGAAGAAAAGTCTGAGACCTAAGGCCCTTGAGACCAGTTTGCAGGATGTGAGGTTATTTTTCCCTGTGGCCCTAGCATAAGTGTGGGCTGGAAGAGACAGAGGAGCTTTCACTGCATTCTGTATTCCACACAACAGCAGGGGGAACATTCTTGGGGATGCTGGTGAATCAGAAGGACCTCCTGGTGACGTCTGCAAAGCACTCACAGCAGCTTCTGCCTCTTGTTTCTTCCGCAGTATGTCGGAGGCGGTGCTTTCCCTTTGCTTCTCCAATTCCCTTACGCGAGAAAAACACAAGCCACACATTAGCGTGGTGTTGCCCAGCAGTGAGTCAAAAGAGCCCTTTGCTGGACCTGAGCCCAGCAAACAGTCTGTGATCTCGTTGGATTTCTAGTTCTAGAACTTTAAAAACTATTTCCAAGACGATCTCAAGCACATATGTTAGTCCCAGGCCTGTGCAGCTTTCATGTTATCCCTGGAAGGCTCGAACCCCCACCTCCTCACAGAGCAGAATCAGGAGGTTCTACCAAACTTCTGAGATCATTACATAACACTTTAGGTGAGAGCACTCCTGTGGCAAAGTAGAGAGACGTGGGGTCAGCATACCACTGTCCCTTCAGAAGACCTGACCCAGCACATTCTTTGTTCCAAGCCTCAAGCCTCAAGCTTCCTGGGGAATTAGGACCCTGAACTACAGTAATCCAAAGGCTAGAGGGGCCCAGAAGAGGAGATTCATTTCTTTCTCCCAAATTCTAAATGTTTTATTAGATCATTATAAAGTAACAAATCTACACCACCTCTCAGTTTTCTGTAGATGTCCTAATGGATTATCTACAAGAAGCTGCAAAATAAATTACATTTCTAAGATTTTGAAGACTATACTTAATGCATATCCCTTATATAAGAACCCAGAACCAATTCCTCTTGAACTCAGTGCCAGGAAAAGAAATAGAATGAGAAAAAGGAAAACTTATTTCTTGTGGTCATGGTTTAAGAGTCTCAAAAATTTTATACACCACCTCTAGTCCCTTCTGAAAGTAGAATGACCAGTGAAAGGGTAATAGTAGACTTACTACTGCTGATGATAAGAGTTAATATTTACTGAGTACTTAGCATGGTCTAGACACCATGCTAAACACTGTACATGTATTAATTAACTTAATTTTCTAGTAACTCTGTGAGGTTGGTTCCATTATTGTCTCCATTTTAAAGATGAGGAAACTGAGGCACAGGGTTGTTTAGTGATATCCCCGTGACATTTTCAACTCACTTCTCTTTTTGAGCCCTGAGGTATGGTTTGATGATCAGACGGTGCATAGCAAAGTAGACCACAAGAGGCCCCACAGTGGCATAGAACACAGCACTGGGAAGTAGCTGATCCGTCAGATGAATAGGGAAGAAGTAAGTCTGGCTGGCCCTGTTTAACCTGGGAAACAGAAACAGAAACAAAATACCCAGGATGAGTCAAGTTTTCCAGGGAAGGGTAATGGGGTCTCAGCCATGGGAAGATACCTCTCAGATACACAGAATACCAGTTAACTGCTTGTGCCACAGTCCTCTCCCCTTTGCTAGTTCCGTTCCAAAGTTTAGCTGCTGGATCTGACATATGTGCAGAATAAAGGTCCCACTTCCTGCTGACCTTAAACGCAAAGCAATAGAGCTAATGCTCAGCCAGAATAAATGTCCCCTACAATTGTGTTAGGTCAAAGACCTTAGAGGTGTCCTGGAGAGAGTCACATCTCAGTCCCTAATGGATGTGTTCGAAAGAAGTTTGTGAAGATTTCCAAAGTTAGCAAATAAAAGAGGTTCTGCTTCTAGTAATGACTAAGTAGCCACTATTGGACCAATCATCCCATGGAGAATAACTAAACTCTGGACCACATGTAAAAATCAAAGACTTTAAGGTAGTGAACAGCAACTGAAAGTGGGCAGATACTAAAAGAGGGCTGAAATGTCCCCGAAAAGGAAAGCCAGAGATAGGGAGCATCAAATTCTGGGTATGAATGTGGCACACATTTCTCACTGACCCCTGATCTCTCAAGTGACCTAGCTAAGGCTAAAATAATTGGAGAGCGACTTTGACAGGTGAGTCAGAGTTTGCAGTTTCAGTTCAGCCAAATTAATTACCTTTTAAAATTAAAACCTTTGGGGCCGGCCCGGTGGTGCACTGGATAGTGCGCTGCTTGGGAAGCGTGGCGGCGCTCCCGCCCGAGGGTTCGGATCCCACATGCAGACCGGTTCCCGCTCACTGGCTGAGCGAGGCGCGGGAGCAGCACCGAGTGTTGCAATCCCATTGCCGGTCCCCAGTCCGGTACGGGGGCAACACTGAGGGTTGCGATCCGTTGCCGGACACGGAAAAAAGACAAAAAAATAAAAAAATAAAAATAAATAAAATTAAAACCTTTGGGGCCGGCCCGGTGGTGCACTGGATAGTGCGCTGCTTGGGAAGCGTGGCGGCGCTCCCGCCCGAGGGTTCGGATCCCACATGCAGACCGGTTCCCGCTCACTGGCTGAGCGAGGCGCGGGAGCAGCACCGAGTGTTGCAATCCCATTGCCGGTCCCCAGTCCGGTACGGGGGCAACACTGAGGGTTGCGATCCGTTGCCGGACACGGAAAAAAGACAAAAAAATAAAAAAATAAAAATAAATAAAATTAAAACCTTTTTTTGAGAAATGTAATAATAGAGTCTCTGCAATGTATCATTTCCAATACTGAGGATGTAATACAAACCACTCTACAAACATACACACATACATACCTGAGAAAAGTGAACAGAAACCAACCACAGATGACCCAGTTGTTGGAACTAGCAGATAAGAATTTTAGAGCAGATATTTTAACTATGTTCAAAGACATAGAAGAAAATATACTTGTAAAGAAAGAAAAGAATAGGAAATTTCATCTGAGAAACAGAAACTATAGAAAAGAATCAAATAGATATTCTCTAAGTGAAAAACACAGTATCTGAAATGCACTACTTACTGGATGCGCTTGCAACAGACTGCAGAGGAAAGAACAGTCAGTGAATCTGAAGACGGATCTTTAGAAGCATCCAATATGAAGAACAAAGGGAAAAAGGACTGAAGAAATATGGACAGAGCCTCAGAAACCCACGAGATAGTATCAAGAGGTTTAACACAGGGTAATTAGAGCCCCACAGAGGAGGAAGAATAAGACAGGAAAAAATATTTGAAGAATTAATCACCTAAAAATTCCAAATTTGTTGTAGGACAAATGTGTAGAAGCAAGAAGTACAGCAAACGTTAAGCAGGATAAGTACAACAAATACCACATCTGGGTATATCATAGTCAAACTGCTGAAAAGCAGAAGTAAAGAAGAAATTTTGAGCAGCCAGAAAAAAAATAAGACGCATTACATGCACAGGAATAATGATTCAAATGACTACCGGCTAGGGCCGGCCCGTGGCTCACTTGGGAGAGTGCGGTGCTGATAACACCAAGGCCACGGGTTCGGATCCCATATAGGGATGGCCGGTTCGCTCACTGGGCGAGCGTGGTGCTGACAACACCAAGTCAAGGGTTAAGATCCCCTTACCGGTCATCTTTAAAAAAAAAAAAAAAAAAAATGACTACCGGCTCTTCATCAGAAACAATGGAGGCCAGAAGACCGCAGAACATCTTTAGAATGCTGAAAGAAAAAACTGTTAACCCTCAATTCTTTTTTATTTTATTTTATTTTATTTTATTTATTTATTTATTTTTTGTCTTTTTCCGTGTCCGGCAACGGATCGCAACCCTCAGTGTCGCCCCGTATCGGACCGGGACCAGCAACGGGATCGCAACCCTCGGTGCTGCTCCCGCACCTTGCTCAGCCAGTGAGCGGGAACCGGTCTGTATGTGGGATCCGAACCCTCGGGCGGGAGCGCCGTGCTTCCCAAGCGGCGCACTATCCAGTGCGCCACCGGGCCGGCCCATATTTTATTTTTTAAAAAGATGACCAGTAAGGGGATCTTAACCCTTGACTGACTTGGTGTTGTCAGCACCACAGTCTCCCAAGTGAGCCACGGGCCGGCCCTTTAACCCTCAATTCTTTAGGCAGTGACAATATCTTTCAAAAATAAAAGCAACTCCAAAATTTATAAAGAACACTCAAAAAACCAGAAATAGGGGCCGGCCCATGGCTCACTCGGGAGAGTGCAGTGCTGCTAACACCAAGGCCATGGGTTCGGATCCCATATAGGGATGGCCGGTTTGCTCACTGGCTGAGCGTGGTGCTGACAACACCAAGACAAGGGTTAAGATCCCCTTACCGGCCATCTTTAAAAAAAAAAAAAAAAAAAAAAAAAAAAAAAAAAAACCCAGAAATTGAACAACCCAATAATAAAACAGAGTAAGGATTTGAATAAATACTTCACTAAAAAAGATATATAAATAGCAAATAAGTACTTGAAAGAATGCTTAACATCAACAGACATTAGGGAAATGCAAATCAAAACCACAAAGGGGGGCCGGCCCGTGGCTCAATCAGGAGAGTGCAGTGCTGATAACACCAAGGCCGTGGGTTCGGATCCTATATAGGGATGGCCGGTTAGCTCGCTGGCTGAGCATGGTGCTGACAACACCAAGTCAAGGGTTAAGATCCCCTTACCGGTCATCTTTTAAAAAAAGAAAATAAAAAAACAAAAACAAAATAACCCCACAATGGGATACTGTGATATTGTGAAAATATGTATTTAGTCTTCTTCCAGTCTCCTGGCACACAACTCCTAAAATCCTTAGAATCTCCAAATGTATGCTAATGAGTTGACTGAAGGCTGGCAGCTACTTGGCAGCTTCAGGATGGGTAGGGCTGGTCAGTGGAAAGACCAAGGCAGTCCCTCCCCCCCAACCTTCTGGGAGGGGAGAGGGATTGGAGGTTAAGCTGATCGCCAGTGACCAATGATTTAATCAATCATGCCCATGTAATGAAGCCTCCATAAACCCAAGAGCACAGGGTTTGGGGGCTTCCAGATAGTGAGTACATGCGGTTTTGCCTCCACGTGCCCAGAGGGTGGTACACCCCAACTCCACGGGGACAGAAACTCCTGCACTCGGGATCCTTCCAGACTTCGCCCTATGTATCTCTTCATCTGGCTGTTTATTTGTACCCTTTAAAATATCCTTTGAGGGCCGGCCCGTGGCTCACTCGGGAGAGTGTGGTGCTGATAACACCAAGGCCCCGGGTTCGGATCCCATATAGGGATGGCCGGTTGGCTCGCTGGCTGAGCGTGGTGCTGACAACACCAAGCCAAGGGTTAAGATCCCCTTACCGGCCATCTTTAAAAAAAAAAAAAAAAAAAAAAATCCTTTGAGGTAAACCTAAATACGTGTTTCTCTGAGTTCTGTGAGCCACTCAGCAAGTTAACTGAACCCAAGGTCAGGGGTTGTGGGAATCCCGATTTATAGGTGGTTGGTCAGAAGTTCCAGAGGCTGGGACTTGGTCTGGCATCTGAAGTAGAGGGCAGTCTTGGGGACTGAGTCCCCAACCTGGGGGATCTGATGCTATCCAGGTAGACAGTGTTGGAATTGAATTGGAGGGCACCCAGCTGATGTCCACTGCAGAACTGGTTACTTGCTTCCTGGTGGTGTAACCATTTGGTTACAGAAGTCAGAGGTCTGTCTTCTGTTGGGACTGTTGCTGAGTAAGAGTATAGGAAAAACACTATGTGTTTTTCCTTACCCACAGATACACTTACAAAATAGTAAAAAAAGAAAAGAAAAGAAAAGAAAAAGAAAAATTAAAAACTACCATAACAAGGGTTGGCAAGGATGTGGAGCAACTAGAATGCTCATGTGCTGCTGGTGAGAAAGTAAAACGAAACAACCACTCTGGAAAACAGTTTGGCAGTTTCTTACTTTCTTATAAACACTCACTCACCATATGACCCAGCACACCTATTCTTACATATTTACCCAGGAAAAATGAAAACTTATATTTACATAAAACCTGTATGTGAATGTTTATATTGGCTTTGTTTGTAATCGGCAAAAACTGGAAACAACTGAAATATCTTCAAACTGATAAACAGATAAATGATGGTACACCTATTAATACTAAACAGGAATGAAAAGGAACAAACTGACATATGCAGTAATGCGCATGTATCTCAAATGCATTATGCTCAGTGAAAGCTCCCAGACTTAAAGCTACATACTCTATGATTCCATTTTATGACATTCTGAGAAAGGCAAAAATATAGGGAAATAAAACAGATTAGTGTTTGCCAGGGCCTGAAGGTTGGGGGAAGGACTGACAACACAAAGCATGAGAGGTTTTTTGGGGTTGATTGAAATGGTCTATATATTGATTGTGAGGGTGTTTACATGACTATATGTGATTGTCAGAATTCAGATTTGGGGCTGGCCCATGGCTCACTTGGGAGAGCGTGGTGCTGACAACACCAAGTCAAGGGTTAAGATCCCCTTACCAGTCACCTTTTAAAAAAAATAAAAAATAAAATAAAATAAATACAGCGATAGGATGAACATAAATGGCCAGCAAAAGATAAATCATTTTAACAGGAAGCAGGAAGTTGGAGTAGCGATATTAATATCAGATAAAGTAGACTTAAAGACAAAGTATTAGTAGAGATAAAAAGGGACATTTCAGGCCGGCCCGTGGCTCACTCGGGAGAGTGCGGTGCTGATAACACCAAGGCCCCGGGTTCGGATCCCATATAGGGATGGCCGGTTCGCTCACTGGCTGAGCGTGGTGCTGACAACACCAAGTCAAGGGTTAAGATCCCTTTACCGGTCATCTTTAAAAAATAAATAAATAAAAAAAAATAATAAAAAGGGACATTTCATAATGTTAAGGTCAACTCATCAGGAAGACATAATAAAAAACATATGTGCCGAATAACAGAACTTCAAAATACACAAAGCAAAATCGACAAAGGGAGAAAGAGAATTCCACAATCACAGTTGGAGATGTTAACCCATCTCTGTCGGCAACTGATAAAAGCCCTACCGCTGCCTGCCTCTGCCCAAGTCACAGAAATTCTGGAAAATGCCATACATCTTGATCTAATCAGTATTTCTAGAACACTACACCTAACAAGTGCAGAACACACATTCTTTTCAATCACACGTGGTATTTTTTTGTGTGTGTGTGGTTGGCTGGCGTGATGGTCCAAGCCCGTGACCCTAGGGTTATAAGGCTGTGCTCTAACCAACTGAGCTAACTGGCCAGCCCCCAATTCTTAATATGTTTAAAAAGACTGGAATCACACAGAATATGTTCTCTGACCAAAATGAAACTAAATTTGAAACCAATTATAATCAAATATTTACGAAAAAAACCCACGAATATTTGGAAATTAAGCAGTATATTTCTAAAAGTGAAATTAGAAAATAGTTTGAAATAAAAGATAATGAAATTATAACATCAAAATTTGTAGGATGGAGTTGGCTGGTTAGCTCAGCTGGTTAGAGTATGGTGTTGATAACACCAAGGTCAAGGGTTCAGATCTCCATACCAGCCAGCTGCCCCCAAAAAACAAAATTTGTAGGATGAAGTAAATAGTGCTTAATGGGAAATTTATAGCCTTAAATGTTTATATTAGAAAATAAAGGTTTCGGGCCGGCCCGGTGGCGCACTGCTACAGTGCGCCGCTTGGGAAGCGCAGCGGCGCTCCCACCGAGGGTTCGGATCCCACATACAGACCGGCTGCTCACTGGCTGAGCGAGGTGCGGGAGCAACACCGAGGGTTGCGATCCTGTTGCCGGTCCCGGTCCGGGCGCGACACTGAGGGTTGCGATCCGTTGCTGGTCACGTAAAAAGACAAAAAGGAAAAAAAAAAAAAAAAGAAAGAAAATAAAGGTCTCAAATTAATAACCTAAGGTTTGGCCTTACAAAGCTAGAAAAAAGAGCAAAATAAACCAAAGTAAGTACAAGGAAGGAAAGAATAAAGATGAGAAATGAAATAGAAAACAGATAAACAATAGAGAAAATTAACAAGGGCAAAATCTGGTTCTTTAAAAAGATAAGTACCCTAGCCAGACTGATCAAGAAAAAGATAAAGAATACAAATTACCAATACAGGTAGAGTATCCCTTATCTGAAATGACTGGAATCAGAAGTGCTTTGGATTTTGAGTTTTGTAGTACTTCCAGAATATATACTGGTGGAACATCTCTAATCTGAAAATCTGAAATCTGAAATGCTCAAATGAGCATTTCCTTTGAGTGTCATGTCAGTCCTCAAAAAATTTGGGATTTTGGATTTTGGGTTAGGGATTCTCAACCTCTACTAGAAATAAAAAGAACGATCATTTACAGATAACTATAGAGGTTAAAAGGATACAATGATATTATGAGCAACTTTATGCTAACAAACTTGACACCTAGGTGAAACTGACAAATTCCTTGAAAAATACAAATTAGTAAAGTTGACACAAGATGAAACAAAATTGGAAAAACCCTGTATTTATGAATGAATTTATTATCAAAAATCTTCCTACAAAGAATATTCAGGCTCAGATGATTTCACTGGCAAATTCTATCAAAAGTAAGGAGGAAATTATACTAATCTTACACAAATTTTTTCAGAAATAGAGGAAGGAACACTTCCTAACTTATTTTATGAGGCTAGCTGAACTCAACCCCAAACCTGACATATACATACATTATGTATGTATCCAAATAAGTAAATATATATATTTTTGACGGCTGGCTGGTATGGGGATCTGAACCCTTGGCCTCGGTGTTACAAGGCTACACTCTAACCAACTTAGCTAACTGGCCAGCCCTATAATAAAAAAAGAAAATTATAGATCAGCATTCCTTGTAAACATAGATACAAAAATCCTAAGATATGAGCAAATCAAATCAAGCAACATATAAAAAGGAGTATGTCATGATCAAGTGGAATTTTTCCCAGGACTGTAAGGTTGGTTTAACATCAAAAACTTAACGTGATTCATCAAATAAACAGAATATAAGAGCAAAGTTAGCAAAGTAAGATCATCTGCTTGTGTCGAAACTGGTGCCTTCTGGCAAAACTTGTTTATATACCAATTCAATTTGGATTATTCAGCCATACTGACACAGAAAACCTGGCTGAAATGAAAACGTTTCCTTTCAAAGACAGAGTGGCATGCTTGGGGTAAGAATTCAATTCACATTATGTCATGTAACCTCCACACGGGAGAAGTGCTGAAAAACAAACAGAACCACAGAGAACTGTGCCTTGCTGATGTGCCCTGCTTACTAGTGGTCTTAATTCAGGTAAGAAAAAGCGGGGGAGGGGTGGGTAGGCATTAAAGTGCAGAAAATTTGACAGCTCTCTGTAAGACCCCTATTAAATCTCAGGTGTTCCCATGTCTTATCTGAGGAGAGATGGCTGATGCCAGCTCTGATCTTAGTAAGCGGCTTTGGCTCTCATCTCAAAACCGCGATGTGATCCACTCACTGGTTCAAGTGTGCGCACTCGGTTCCTCTTGAGTGCCAGGCTGGGTTCTAGGCTCCAGGAGTACGGTACAGAATACCATGGACTAAGTCAAAGAGCTTATTTCTGGTGAGGGGCAGGGGACAGATGGCTTGTCAGAGGGAGACCGGTGCAGTGGAGAATACACAGAATCGCCAGGGGAGGGGTTGCCATTTTATATAAACAGATAGGGATGGTTTCGCAATTAGGTAACATTTGAGCAGAGACTGAAGGAAGCAAAGGAACCAGCCATACGTTCATCTGGGGATTGAAGAACAGCAAATGCCACCTTAGAGGCAGGAGTGAACTTGCGTGTCCCAGGAGCAGCTCGGAGGCCAGGATGGCTGGGGCGGGGGGGGTTGGGGGCGTAGGTCAGAGGACAGGGAGGAGCTGCACCATGGAGGTACTGGAGGCCCTGAAGAGACATGAATTGACTTACATTTTAAAAGGATTATTCTTTCTTTGGGGAGGATGGCCTCAGAGGGGTTAAGGTCAGTCAGGAAGACAATGCAAATTATGCAGACAAGCAGAGAAATGGGCAGATTCAGGATTCGCTTTCAGGGCAGACATGAGATGATCTTGGGATATGTCAGATTTGGAGTGTGAGAGAAAAGAGTGATCAAGGGTAACTCAAAGGTTTTTGGATGATGCAGCCTGAAGGCTGGAGCTGTCATGTACTGAGATGGGGAAAGACTCGCAGCCGAGCAGGTTTTGATGTGTGTCTGAGGGGAGCAGGAGGGGACCTGGAGTTCTGTTTTGAATAAGTAACGTCTGTGATGCTGGTGGATATCCATCTAGAGATTTGGAAAAGGAATTTGGACATATACATGAGCTGGAGATTTCAGGGGTGGCCCAAGCTGGAGCTCCCAATATGAGAGCTGTCAGTACGCAAAGGTATTGAAAGCCATGAGGCTGGAAGGGACCGCTTGGGAGGGAGCCTTGACAGAGGAGGACTGCGTCCTACAGCGGTACCTCCATTTAGAAGTTTGGGAGACAAGGAGCAGCCAGGTGGTAAGGTAAACCCAGAGCCAGAGTGCAGCATCCTGGAATCCCAGTGCAGGGGCTGTACGGCAGGAAGCAACAGCCACTGAGGCAGAAGCTGCAGAGATACCAAGAGGGGCAGAGACTAAGCACTGCCCTGTGATCCGACACACAAGGAAGCCGGCTTCTGGAGAGGGCTGCAGCAGGAAGTCCGGCTGCAGAGGGTTTAGACACAGAGCGAATGCGAGCCAACACAGACGAGTCTCCTGAAGAGCTAAGGAGAAAGGAGGTCAGGGATTAGCCAGAAAGGAGAAAGGGTGGGAGCACTGACGGGTCCATCCGGCAGGAGGGTTAATGAATGCTCCGGGTGTGCAGGCGAGACCACCAGAGCAGTGTCTCAACGAGGCGTGGGCCAGCCTGGGCCGTGGAGCAAATTCAGATCTCACCGACTCTGTGTTCCTTGATATTTGCTTATGCACAAAAGATAGAGGCCACTGCATCTTTAAGAACAAAATCACAAAGCAAAGGCTATTTCACCCTTAACTGAGCTGAAGTCCAGCTGAGTGAAGTTGCCAGACATTCCTTGGCCAGAAAGATCTGGGTTGAACTTACTTGACTTTGAGGGAAACGCCTTGTGGGACTCCAATGCTGACAGCTGCGCCCAGAACACTGTGCCTGGAGATCTTCCTCTCGGCCCCGTACTCTACCACCGTCCCAAAGAAGCCTGCCCTGTGGGGAGCAGACCACCGGGCCGTCAGTGCCTGTGGCCCTCTCTCCTACCACCCCATGGTGTGGCTACCACTTGAGCAGAGGCTGGGCCCCCTCCCCACCACAGGGAGCAGGATTCATGACCGATGCTCTCAGTCACTAACTGAGCAAAGTCGGTACACCCACGGTCTAGTTCCTCCATCAGACTCTGCGTTCCTTGAGGGTGGGGACCGCAGAGCATGAAATCCCTGCCGACCTGTACCAGAGGGCTCTCAAGAAGCGCCACAAGCACAAAGAGGCCCACATGAGCAGGCACCTGACACCAACCGGCTCGCCTCTGAGAAAGCGCTGCATAGCCCCTGCTTCTGTGTTAGCTGGGCACAGACTCACTTGAGAGATCCTTTCAAGCGCGTCTGATCGTCGTCTTGGAACTTGTGCTGATAGCTGATCAGTGCAAAGGAGTGAGGGATTCCCAGCTGAGGAGACAGGGGGAAGGGATGCGTGGCGGCTACCAGAGACTCTGGGAAAGTGGGGTTCACCCTCCCCTCCACATTGGGCATCCGCCATGCCCAGTTCTTTAAGGAAGGGGCTGTGATCTGGCAGCCACAGTGTGTGAAAATTTACTACAGTATTTAAAAATTGGGAGATTTCATATAAAAACCCAGTTCTCTAGCTTCTCATGAAAAATAAAAATTCCTGCCACAAGGAGACTGTGCTGCGAGGTGGCAGCAGCTTGTGAGAGTGGAGGAGCAGCTGTCTGTGAGGGGGTGGCCTCTCATTTCCCAGTCCTGGTCCCTTCCACTCACTGCCTGGCCACCAAGGCACCCGAGCACATGATTTTGCTTTGGGGCTTTGGCTCCCAACCAGGGCTTCCACCCTGATTCTGTGGGCTTCTCCCATCAGAAGATGTTGAAATGTCACTATGCTTTAGGATAATCTGAATACAGCTATCCTGGGCACCTGAGAACAGTATTTTAACACTGAGTGTGAACAGCCAAACCCTGCCCCTGAGGGCCCCATGGTGCTTAGGCTTGAGCAGGGTGATCAGGGTGCAGGATTTAAGAGGCACCCTGAGTGTTCGGGAGACTGCAGCTCCTGGGCTCACCTGCAGAGCCACAGTGAAGTGGCTGGTTTTAGTGTCCCGGACGATGCTAGTGTTCATGGCCGACTGGATTCCCCAGCGCCACTGCAGGTAGCCGACAGTGTTCTTGTCTAGGTTCCGAGCTAGGACAGTGGTAAGGCCAGGCCGGATTCCACGGGACGAAAACTGCAGAGCACAGTTTGTCGTCACAAAGCTGGGGGGACACACAGATAGAAAGAGTCCTGGATGGCACCTGCTCTCAGCTGTTCTTTGTCACTTCCTTCTGCCAGGCTAAGTCCTGGCATGAATCCCTGGACCAGCTCCCAGCAAGAAAAGGCAGGAGACCCAGCCTCTATCCACGCAGGGGAGAGGGAGAGTGATACAGTGGAATCTTTCCAGTAATCCTCCCTGGCGAGCTGTGCTCCCTACCCCCGTCCATTCTACCTTGAGCTGCAGCTCAAGGAGGCTCCTAAATGCCTGTTCTCGTAGGCAAGTAGAGGCAATCCTGCTGCAGCGCAGAATCACCTGGGGAGGCTCTCAAACCAAGTAGCCCAGGGCAGTGGTTGCCAAACTCTGCTGCACGCTGGAATCACCTGGCTGATCTAAAACCACCAATGCCGGCTCCTACCCCAGGCTTTCTGATTTCTTGCGTAAGGGCTCGGAATGTTCAAAGCCTCCCAGAAGACTCAATTGTGCAACAGAGTTTGAGAACCACTTACCAAAGCACACCCCAGACCAATTAAATCAGAATTTCTGGGTGGGGGTCCAGGCATCAGTACATTTTAAAAACTGCCCCCATGTGATTCTGATGCATACCCACACATGCCCACTATTGACTGAAGCTGCTGGAAAAGCTAACGCAGCAAACTAGTTTCCATGAAAGGCCTCTGAAGTTTGTTTCCAAGAGAGTCCAGCCCCATCTTCTGGTTAAAAAAGGGTATTTCATTTCACTAACAAAGGAGTTCACACCACTTCCTTCAAGGTGTTGAAAGGTGAATAGATGGTTTCTTTAGAAAACAGCCCAACATTCACTCAATTGCCTTAGTTTCTTTCTCTCTTTTCTAAGCTCTGGAGTTGACACTTTTGCCATTAAAATACCAATAAATATGATTAACTCCTATTATCACTCCTCTCCTCACTTCTAGCAGCTTCCCAGGGCCAAATTAATTAAGAACTAACTCCTTGCTCCCAAGTCGCACTGGAGAACAGCTACATTTTCCTGCTCTAGCCACACTGGCATCAGGAGAGCAAGCAGGGAGAAGAAAGAAAAAGTCACCTCCAGAATTTCAAGAGAAAGTTACAGAGGGAAATTTAAAAGAATCAAAATACAAAGAATAAGATCCCTGTTTTACCAAAGAGATTTACTATTTTTGTCCAGCACTGTCCTAGAGAGAGAAAAAACAGACTTTGGTGGGGAGATAGAGAACATTCTACAAGGCTGTTGCCTTTCTTGGAACAGCAACCTTTTATTGCAGTTTGGACTTACAAGTAACTTGATTAGGGAGCCCTGAATAGCAGACATAACTAGTCCGGTCACTGTACATTAACAGACTGGCATCCCTGTTCATAAATCTCCTCTCTCAAGTCTGATAAACTCTGGGTACTATAACAAAATTCAATCTCCAAACCTTTGAAAGCCGATGACCAGCCAGCCTGAGACCCTTTGGTGACCACTCAATGGACAGACACTTTGAGGCTCAACCAGAATGAAGTGACCAAAAAACTTTCTTCAGTTAAGTGTCTTGTTGTCTGGTTACGGCAATAGCTACACTGTCTGGTCAGGGCTACCGTCAGACTCCTGCTGATGTAGCCAATTGTATTGCTAAGGATTAGGGCCGACAGACTCTTCGAGCCCATTGTACAGACTGGGTCACAGACCCCTCACACACCTGGCTGGATCACTGAACCCCTCTCATGCCAGGTCCACACTCTAGGTAATTGGGAAAGATCCTGGGAGCTATTGGCAGATGACATGAGCTCACTTTCCTCAGTAACAGCAGCAGTAGCGGCCTCCCCATGCCCCCCCCCCCCCCCCCGGGGGCATCTTGCCTCACACACCTGGCTGGATCACTGAACCCCTCTCATGCCAGGTCCACACTCTAGGTAATTGGGAAAGATCCTGGGAGCTATTGGCAGATGACATGAGCTCACTTTCCTCAGTAACAGCAGCAGTAGCGGCCTCCCCATGCCCCCCCCCCCACCCCGGGGCTGGGGGCACTGTGGATCAGAGCCACTCATCCTTTATACTTAAGTCCATAACCCAGGACACCTGGGTGCATATGCACAATTACATTAGGCAATGGCCAAGCAACACCTGGGTGCACGTGCATATTTACATCACATGCTAGGCAAGATTCTAAACATCTGAGGGGCCTTGACCATTTTCTTATATTTTCCTACACTCGTAAACTTGTCTGATCTGAAGAATCATCCGCAGTGCTTGAAAACATGGATTCCCAGATCCCTCCCTCAGAGGACTCGACTCAGCTTTTAATCAGCATCCAAGACGACAATTCTAAGCAGACAAGGTTAGGACAACACTGACATGTACATTTACTCTATCACCTGATGTTCTGATTAACAGGATACATCCTGTCCACTTCCCAGACCCACTGAATCCAATTCCTAGGGCAGAGGGCTGAGGAGCTGTGTTCTGAGCAGCACCCAGGTGACCACTGGTGATGGCTGTCTCCAGTCTCTCTGGTGCCTCTGCCTGAGCTGCCCAGGCTGAAGTCTCCACCTGTCCCACATGCCACATCCTCTTGCTCTGCTCTCTTCCCTTCCCTTACACACTTCTCTTATTCTCCTTATGTCAGACTGATCTGCAAACTTGCCTGTGCTCCCTGCCCCCCTGCCCTCTGGACTGAACGACCAGGCTGGCAGGCAGGGATGGGTCGTACCCTGCAGAACCTGGCAGGCACACAGACACACGTCCCACCAGAAGTGAAATAACCTCATCAAACATGTACTCCATTCCAGGACTCTTTTAGCTTTGTTTTTTTCCCCTGGAGGAAAGAGGTTTTATTTACCTTCCACTCAATTCTTTGATCTGAGCCCCCCACCACATGGGAAATAATGCTGTCATTCTGGAAGGGGCAGGGATGTACAGGTCTAAGGGTGTGACATCACTGCAGCAGAGGTGATGGGAAGCAGAGGCTGGGGGTTAAAGCTCTGGCTTGTGGAAACCAATCAGATTACTAGGCAGACTGACATTCTCTGGGACAAGGAAATGATCCACAAGTCCAACTTCCCTGTGAAGACACTTTCCCTCCATCATCCTGTGGTCCTCGGAGCCCACCGTGAGGCAGGCAGGATACAACGAGGGAAGAGGCAACACAGAGGGCAAAGCCTGGCCATGGATGGGGTAGATCAGGCCCCCACAACCTGGTGCCCTTTCCAGCCCGCGTACTGCCCAGGCTGCATGTCACTGCTGCAGCATCGGCCCTCAGCGTGCTCGGGAACCTTGTAGGACAGACATCTCCAGATGACCTTGATAAAAAGAACACACAGGCTCCAGTCTCCTACAACAATAAGGATCATCAAAGAGGATTTATCTCTTATATTTACCATCTTGGTGTGAGATTACGGAACAGCTTGAGACCGAATAAAGGTCCCTGTAGGTCTCCAGCTCCAAATTCCAACTGTTTGAAAAAGAAAAGGGGAAAGGATTAACGGTGCTTTTAACTCAGAGCAGCAACCCAGGTCTCAGGTATGCACATCTGCTTACAATTTCGTTTAATTCAATGCTGCTGTCAGAGCTCTACAAGTAGGGAGGTGGAAGATTCTCAATATTTCATGTTAACCTTTGCCAAATGAAGATAACTGCTGCCACAGAACCAAAGGTGGCCCAGGTTAAGACACTGCTTCCTCTGATCCTCACCTTTCCAGCTCAGGTTAGAAGAGATCAACCGGCTCCCCTCCCCTCAGCAGAGCCGCCATCTGCAGAGCGCCTGCGGCAGTCAGGTGTGGCCAACCCCCACCCCACCCCCATGCCGACTCCTTTGCATTTTATTGCCACTCTGAAGGTCTCACAGGTGGCTGGAGATGGTCCTCAGGGGCCTGATGAGAAAGCCCATCAGCAGTTCTACACTCACATGGCTTGGAACTTGCAGCGGTCTGGCTGCCTCGTTTACCAGTCTGGGTGACCTTCAAGGCAACTCCACAATGTTAATTTGGTGCAGCTCAACTCGCCGGGCAGAACTAGCTGTTAAATGACCACCCATCAGTGGAACAGAGCACTGGAACACAAGCACCTGCCTTGTGAGTTGTGCAGGAAAAGGGGTGAGCCCACAGGCATTTGCTCAAAGGGAACAAAGATGCTGAGTTTCTAGAGGCTGGATTTCTGGAAATTGTTATCTCAAAGGAAATCTTGTTTTGTTTTTCTATCCTAACTTTAAACCGTTTGGAAGACTTATAGGACTGCTGCTCAGGTATAAGACACATTCTTCGTTTGGGGCCAGTCCACTTATGGTAGTTTGACACTTGATACCCTTACTCAATGATGTGGCCACCCCCGGTCATTCTGAAGACTAACTTTTGGAACGTTTTTTTTTTTGTCGCTTGGCCGGTTCGGGGATCTGAACGCGTGACCTTGGTGTCACATGGCTGGGCTCTAACCAACTGAGCTGACCGGCCAGCCCCTAGAATGTAAATATCCAGAAATAAGGCTTTGCTTGGACAGCACAGTCCAGCCAATCGATATTCTTACCTCTCCCCATCCCTTCGCAGAAGTGACTCGTCTGAGCGCAAAGTTAATGGAACCCCCTCCATTCCCATTCTGGGTTGAGAGGCTTCCAGAGAGGATGGCTGTGTCTGTAGCTGTCAAGGGTGCCTAGGAAATGAAATTTGATGGTAATAAATGAATCAAAGCAACAGGAAGTGCCAGCGGCAGCAGCCCAGTAAATATAAGGAGTACTGGGAGTACAAGGCCAAGGTGGCAGCGGGCTCCAGGGTAGGAAGCACATAGGGACGTGGGATGGCCTCAGCTGCTTTACTTGTCTCACTTTGTCACCTGAACTGCATGTGGCCGTGAAGGTAATGCTTTGTAAAAGCTTTAATAAGCAATAAAAAACCAGGACGAAGCAGAGGGCTAAATGCTGGGTTCTTAAGTGTACCAATGGCATTGCACTGTGCAGCAACTTCACCGTGTGCCTCCCACTGTGGGACGTCTGGGCCTCTCCAGTTCTGGCTCACCACCACAGCCTCGACAGGACCAAAGACCTTCCCACAGCCATATTAACTGACTGGTAGCTCCAAGAGGCGGTAAGTTTCCTTGGGTTAGGACTCCACGCATTTGAAAATGAATGAGTGAGCTGAGGAGGTACAGACCTACTGTAACCCTCAGTTCTTAGAATGGACTGACTTTGCCACATCCAAATAGTGGGCAGGAAGTTGACACTTTAGTGGCCCTAGGGCTCAGGATGCAGAGCTGTTCCAGCCTTTCAGCACACAAGAGTGTGCCTTAAAACTAAAACTCCTTCTTAGAATTATCCATGGAGGACTGCTTTCTCTCCCCGAATCACCATGACCTTGGGCTTCTACTTCTCCCAGACCATTAACTCCATTAACTGGAGACCTGCGGCCTTGGGAGCTAAGCACCCCCAGCCCCAGCCATATGCTGGCTAGCATTAGGCAAAGCAGTAACAAACAAGGCTGTGACTGAAGCTCCTTTTTTTTTTTTAAAAGTGGCTGATTGCATCCTTTCATGAATAAAGATGAGAAAAACCCTGAGCAGACTCTCATTCCAGCTGCTTGCTGTGCTGTGCCTCATTAACTCAAGCCATTGCTGTACTTGGAGGTGTTTGTGTGCTTTACCTCAATGGACTGGGATATGTGCATTTTGTTAATTTCAATCTGCGGAAAGCCACTTCCGGATACATCTTCATACTCCTCATCGTAGCGATCAAAAAGGTCAGTGGCATCTACTCCCACGCTGATCGTTCCCTGGGGCAGAGAAACAAGCAGTAGGCATGAAGGGGTGGTGTTTGTGGGGTGAAGACGGTACTACATTTTAGCACCTTGCTCAGTTTAACTGAACAAGTCATGTGACTTCACTGCACGGGTCTAGGTAGGACACTCCACCATGAAAACCACCAAGTGTGAATGTCACAGTTCAAAGCAAACAAATGCAGAATGTCACGAACATCCAGAGCTAGAAAGCATCCTGTAGACCAGGAGAACCAGTGTGCACATCACAGAGGAATGACCTGCCAAAGTGTTAGAAAAAGAAGTAAGATCTACACAATTTGATGTTCAAAGATCAAACAGAACCCCTGAATGCATAAAACAACCTAGCAGAAACTAGCTACAGGGATTAAACATTTTTCTCTAAACATTCTTACATCACAAAACTACCTTAAAACAGAAAAGTACCTCCAAAGATAAAGAAGCACAAACAAAATAAACTATCAAGAAATGGGTAAATTAAAAATTCCTCACCTTCTAAAATTAATTTGAGAATTAAGTTATGAGAAACAGAACACATTCTCTCAAATTCTAAGCTAAAATTTTGCTGACTGATGGAGAGAACAAATCTATGGTTATTAGAGGATGGAGGGGAGGAGGGAGGAGGAAGGGGAGAGATTGGATACGGGGCATAAAGAACAAGTATGATTTGTAACAATGAATATGCTAATAATTTTTTTTTTTTTAAAGATGACCAGTAAGGGGATCTCAACCCTTGGCTTGGTGTTGTCAGCACCACGCTCAGCCAGTGAGCAAACCGGCCATCCCTATATGGGATCCGAACCCATGGCCTTGGTGTTATCAGCACCGCACTCTACCGAGTGAGCCACGGGCCGGCCCGCTAATAATTTTTTTAAAAGATTTTTCTGACTGATAAAATTCCTTATGTAGAAAATCAATGTTTATTATTTTCTCTTATAAGACCTTTCAAATGAGCATATATCTTAATCCAATGTATAAAAAACATGATCACACAATTTTTATTAAATTCTCTGCAGCCCATGCTTAAAAATAACTACTGAGGTTTGATTTATGTATACTAACATAGACTGTACCCATCTGAGGTGCACAACTCAATGAGTAGTATGTATACTCAGTATGAATACATATGTATATACACTCATGAAACCACCTCCAAAATCAAGACAGAACATTTCTATCACCCCAAAAGTAGCTTAGGATGGTGTGTTTTAATTTTAACTAGTCAAGAAAGGCATTTCCGAGAAGGGGATGTGTGACAGAAATGAGGGCTGGCTCATCCTGAAGGAGTGAAGGGGCTGTCGTGGGATGTGTCCAGAGGGGGTGGAGTGTGGGTGGTCTCCCCAAGTGTCATAGATGGGGTTCATTGGGGATAGCACAGGTTTAACCCTGTTGTTTCCACCAGTTTAGCAATTAGCCCAGTGTTTTCATTTTTGTGCCAGAGTACGTTTGGCAGATAGACCTTTTCTCTGTCCTGCTGGCATCTGCCATGGTCTCATCTGATGGTGTGTTAGATGATGGCGACTTTAGGAGAATACACCAGTGATAAGCCACGGCTCTTCTCTTCCCAGATGAAATGTAAGTAGCGCCTTACATTTTCTGGAGTGGCACGCACAGTGCTCGCTGGTGCATGGCTAGGCTCAGCCAACTCCCTCCAGTCTCAGCTGGTGGTGGGAGAAGGATTAGATACTCTACCCATTTTGGGCATCCAGCAGGTGGCCAGTGTTGAGGCCTGTGGAATGTATGCAACTGTCAAGCTGCCAGTCAGCCCCCCTCCAGGGAAAACTCTAGGTAAATAGGAAAAAGGTATGGGGACCAGAGGTGGGTCTGCAGCAGAATCTACTAGAGAGCACTCTGAGCACCTTGCTACAGTGTTTCTGTCATCTGTTGAATGATGTAAATCAGGAGTTGGCACTTCTGCCCTGAAGAGCCAGAGTAAATACTTTTGGTATTGTGGGCCATCCAACTTCTGTCGCAACTCTTCAGCTCTGCTGCTGTAGTGGGAAAGCAGCCAGATGAGTAGTAAATGATTGGGCGTTACCATGTTTCAAGAAAACTGTTCATGAACCCTGAATTCTGAATTTCACATAATTTTCCTATGTCACAAACTATTCTTTTGATTTTTTTCAACCATTTAAAAATGCAAAAAGTATTCTTAGCTCACGGGCATACAAAAACAGGCAGCAGCTTGAATTTGGCAACCCCCTGGTATAAATCTAAGGTTTCTGTTGTTGTCTGATAATGCTTTCTTTTTCGGTAAACTCTTCAGGCAGCAATGAGGTTAAACATAGTGCATGTTTAATGAAAAAATTAAGTACTATATTTCCGTGTTCTCAGACAGTTGATGAATTTATAAGTTGTACAAAATATTTTTTCCATATTGCCATCCCAAATGCTAACTACAACCACATGAAAACCAAAAGTCTCAGATCTGCTAAAGAAGCACCAGCAGCATCTCTAACCGTTAGTTGTCCTTTTAAGAAGACTGCACCCAGAAGTGAGGCTGCAGCAGCATGTGCATTTACACATAACTATGAAAAATGACTTTTCATTTAGATCAAATGGTGGTTACTCTATGTTAATTTCACCCAGTCTTCCATTACAAGGCTTATGATGCACAAATGAAAGATAAAGCAACAGCTGCTTCTGTGTTGGCTCCATAAGCAGAACCTTACAACTGCTAACGGTGCCAGCTTTATATCAGTGCATCAGATGCTTCAAACAGAAGATTAGTTCACCCTAATAATCACTTGATTTTTGTTGAGGGTGATACACCTGACATTATAAATGCCACCGCAAACTCAGTTAAAAAGTTCCACATTTAATGTAAAATGGTTTTTGTGGTGATACTCAAATACCAGTTTGGGGGGAATATGGTGTCATGGTAAAAAAATATTCTTATTAAATCAAGAAACCCGTGGAGCAGAAACATTCTTAGAATTAGTTATAGTGCACACATAATGCATTATTGTGTCAAAACAAGCTGTGGTATTCTACCTATGGAAAATGAACCTGTAGTTGTTAAAATTTACAAATATTTTTGTATATTCAGAGTAACGGAATAGGTTTTTGTGATGACAATGTTCTGAATACAAAAAAATCTGCAGCATGGCAGTACATTAACAGTTGTGTTCGGAATGTTTAAGCCTTTGTAGAACTTTTAAAAATAGAGCACAAAAAACTCTGCAATTTAAAAAATATTAAGAAATGGCAATCACTGAAAATAAAGCTTGTAACCAAGAATAGTCTAAAATTGATTTTTTTTTTTTTTTTTAAGATGACCGATAAGGGGATCTTAACCCTTGACTTGGTGTTGTCAGCACCACGCTCTCCCAAGTGAGCTAACCGGCCATCCCTATATAGGATCCGAACCGCGGTGTCCTTAGTGTTATCAGCACCACGCTCTCCCAAGTGAGCTAACCGGCCATCCCTATATGGGATCCGAACCGCGGTGTCCTTAGTGTTATCAGCACCACGCTCTCCCAAGTGAGCTAACTGGCCATCCCTATATAGGGATCAGAACCGCGGTGTCCTTAGTGTTATCAGCACCACTCTCTCCCAAGTCAGCCACGGGCTGGCCCTAAAATTGATTCTTTTAGGAGAAAAAAAATGGAACAAATTAAGAGCTCAAATAGTTTATAAGATATAATTTTGAAATTCCATAGTGGCATTTTGGAATGTCTTAATTTTTACTAAGAATCTTTTGATGACATTATATTCTGTCCTGGAATGGAATGGAATGGAATGGAAAAGGCCTAATTTTGTAGCATATAAAGTTGATGAAATATTCAAAAGATCATAAATAAAGACAATTTTAAAAAAATCAGTCAAAGAAAACTATTCTGAATGGAGGCAAAAAGACAATACCTGTGAAAATACTGGGGCCAAGATACTTATATCTTGTATGTTCTAATATTAAGCAATTTAGAATTGAGAGTATTTTATAAATTAAGAATAATTAGAAATAATATTATATGTGTCAAAAATTTTCAAATTTACTAAATATAAACACAACTTTCATGGAGATGGTAGGCAATGTTATAAAAGAAAAGAAAAAAAAAAAGACACTGGAAATACAATCTTCAGAAAAATAGTGGTGACATAGTACAGAAGTCAGAATCCAAAGAAGACCTCTGAAGGAATCATGCCTGCTGGTATTCGCATGCTTGTACAGGGCCCTCTCCTTGATTCTGAGCTTGCCCTGAAACGTGCATTTGTCCAACAGAATGTGTGGTTGTGATGGTGCTGACTTTAGAACCAGGTGCAGCTTCGTCTATGTCTCTGGGATGCCCTATCTGGGTGGGGGAAGCTAGCTAATACATAGCAAGTCCAACTACCCAGACACTGCTATGTTGTGAGGAAGCCCGAGCTAGCCAGGGAAGAGGCTGAGTAGAGAGAGGGAGATGCTAGGCCATCTCGCCAAAGACCAGATTAGAGCATGTGAATACAGTTTATGTCAAAAATAATGTTTTTGGGGCCGGCCCAGTGGTGCACTGGAGAGTGCGCCGCTTGGGAGCATGGCAGTGCTCCTGCTGAGGGTTTGGATCCCATGTGGAGACCGATTCCTGCTCACTGGCTGAGCGCGGTGCGGGCGTGACACCGAGGGTTGCGATCCCGTTACCGGTCAGTAAAAAAGACAAAAAGGAAAAAAAAAATAATAATGTTTTTGCTTTTCCTACTCTTTTTTTTTTTTTGGCAGCTGGCCAGTACAGGGATGGAACCCTGGGCCATGGTGTTATCAGCACCATGCTCTGATCAACTGAGCTGACCAGCAAGCCCTTGCTTCTGCTACTTTTAATGTTCACATAATCAGTGTAATTTTTAAAATTTGTTTTAATGTGCATAGGTACATGTTTACTTAAGAAAATATTTTTTGAAATAATTTTTGAATAAACTATTTTACAGGTTCTCCAATATAATAAAACCAATGTTCATCAATAAATATTTCTTTTTTTTTTTTTTTTTTTTTTTTTTTTTTTTCTTTTTTC